ATAAGCCTAATTTATAAATAGCAAAGATACTGTTATATCAACACAACTGTTACATTTCTAGCCGTGATCCTGTCAAGATATTCCTGGCAATGTTTGCAAAAAATATTGCAAAAAGATTTGCACAGGAATGTTTGACAAAGTTTTATCTTCATTTTTAAGAGGTCAGTGGGCCGGGTAATTTCTTCTTTACAAAAGTTGTGAACGTGATTTGAGTGCTCAGTAGGCATTTCTTTTATTGTCATCAATAAATAAGAGTTAAAAGGAACTGTTCTTTTAAATTGTATCGACCCTCCATTTAAAAAAGGGGCTTGCTAGAAAAACAGCGGAACCCTTCATATCATCGTTTAAATCGTAATCGTAAAAATCAGTTTTCAAACTGGTAAACATAGATATATAATAAATGGGTGCTGATGTTGTGAATCGTATTTAAGTTTGAGTGTCACTTGAAATAACGACTACAGTCCCTTAACCCCAATCGTAAATCATTCTTTTTTTTTTGCCACATAATTTTTGCACATAAAACTGAAAATGTCGCGCTCTTATTACATATTTTTTTTTAAACAAGTGGTGTTAACTTTTAACCGTTATCATTATTTAAATTGTGAAAAACTATTTTTGGTGTCACATCTTATACGTTCTACTCTCTGGCCTACGTCAACTAAACTAGTAATACTCTATTGTAAATGAAGAGAGGGGTGGATTTTCCTTTACACTGTTCTAAGATCTATAATTGTTAAACTACTGGCTTAAAGCCAAGATATAGCTTTGTTTCAATGCTTTCCGTTTAAACATTTGTCTTGTATAGATAGATAGATAGATAGATTTCAAGCGTAGTAATTTTATGTGTGTGTGTATATGTGTACATAATAAATATCAAATGTGATAAGATAATAAAGCACGATAATATTATGTTTTAATCAAAAACAAGAGATGGGCCTATTCAGAATCCAGAGAGCATACACCATCACAGAATATAAGAAGTCATCATCATTGGAGTACTATCGGAGACCCCTAAATTTTAATTGGAGACCCCAGCTTGTTATTAGAACCCCTAGATTTTTATCGGAGACCCCAAGTTTGTCATCAAGATTTGTATTGCAGACCCCAATATTTTTCATTGGAGACCCAAATCTTTTCATAGAGACCCCAGAATTTTTTTAAATCTCCATTTTGGATATTATGGATATGGGGCCTCCGATGAAAATCCGTGGGTGTGTAAAGTTTAGATATTTGAAACTATTTTATCTTACAGATTTCGTTGTTTAATTAAGATATCCAAGGTGTGCGACATCATTGTGGTTCCATTTTGATATTAAGCGCCAATAGAACTAAATTTATAAATATAAGATCGAGCGTAATATTTCATCATCTCTGTTAGAATATATTGATACAAAGATAGCTTTAAAAAGTTTAAGAATAACAAAATCAAACGTAAAAAAATAATAAAAACATTCAGCATGACATTTTTAGAAAAGTATGTTTACTATTAAGATTTTAAAGAGAGAATATAAGAAAAGTATGTTTACTATTTATAAACTAATTATAGATATTTTAAGAAATGTATGTATATGTTTACAATTCAGTACAGGTAGAGAAGAAAAAAAAGTATTTTTTTAATTTAAAATCTGTAGGTAAAGATTTAAAAAAAAGTACGTTTACTAATTAGAAAATCAAGGGATTTATATATTTTTTTATAGTAACAATTCTAGGTTTTTCTCTGTCATAAAAAAATTTTGCGAATTTTTCTGTTTACATTGATGGATTTTCAAAAAATCTAAAAACGCCACTTTTAGGCTAAATTTTTAAATTTCGTATAGCCCGCCAGGTTTTGTTGTTTTGACGTTTTTCGGATAAAAACACGTCGATAACCAAATATATTTAAACTATATATGTAAAGAAAGGAATTGAGTCTTTGCAACAAACTCTGATTGTCTTATTCCTATAGCTATGCAACCCCAATGTCGTAGACCTCAGCTATTTCAAATTTTGAATTCTGCTAGATAAAATATCAAAAGTTTACATCATCAGGTTGTAAAGATATGGGAATAAGAAAACTTGATTTTTTGGCAAAGATTTAGTTCCTTTGTCTTTTACTATATAAAGTTTTTCATAGTTAAATCAGTCTCTAGGGGCCGTATATAGAATATACAGGTATCCATATTCATATATTATTTAGAGTAGTATTAAAATAAATATACAGGGTGTTAAACTAAGGTTATAAAGATACAGGGAGAACCATAGTAGTAACAACATAATGTAATAAAATTCCAGAGGTTAAAGCTTATGTATGTTTTTAATCCAACCTGGTGGTTAAATTACACACGTGAGACTCAGCCATCCCCCATTTTTAGCTTAAAGGACCCTCCATGCAGAGAAGGACGTTGGCCCGATTTACAACAGTATATTTTAATAAAAACCCCTTTAAAAAAATGAAATGTCGTGTTTAAAATGTTTTCATATTCTCATAATTTTTTGGATGTAAATTTTCAGATAGTGGTTAGAATTTGACTGAAGTTATTTCGATAAAGCTCAGACAAAGGAATTAAGTCTTTGTCACAAACTCAAATGTTCTAATCCCTATATCTGTGCAACCTGATGGTGTAATTCTTTGATATTATTTAAGAAAATCACAATTAGAAATATAAAGGTCTATGGCATTGGCTTGCAAAGATATAGGGATTATTAAAGCAGAGTTTGTGTTAAAGACTCAATTCTTTTGATCCATCTTAGTTACGACTTTCAAAAAGGATTTAAAAGCAATCTTTTTTTCTTCTTCATATAAATATATGTGGAAATTATCGTGCTTAGAGTGTGTTGATAATATTCGTATGTTTCAATGTAAATATATTTATATTACTCCGCGGGATCAATAAAATAATGGAAACTAATGAACGAATTTCCTCTCAAGGGACCAAGTTTGCTCTAACATAGAAAAAACATTAGGCTATTAGGCGAAACATCAATAAGACGGGGGTTTTGTTGATTAGTTGTAAAATATTTAGAAAATATTATTTGGACTGAATTTAATGTGGCAATGGGAAGTTTAATCCGTTAAGAGTTTACTGTGATCTAAATTATTCACAAATCATGTCAATGACAAATTTGTTCTAGCCTTTTTTCTTAAGACATTTTTTAGTGAGCGTAGACGATCTTAACGTATTAGTACAGAAAGACGATTCCGTAAATTCAAAGATGGTTGAGTTATAAAGGACAATTTTTAAAGTGTGCAGACCAATGCATCGTTCTTCTTCCTTCCTTTTTTAAGGGAGGGGGGGGGGAAGGGAAAACCAAGTCTTTATATAAGGGAGAGGGGAAGTATAGAGAGACGATATTTCTTCATTGATGTTCTATAGGGAAGGTGCAATGCCGTTTATATCGGAATAAAGTGTAATAAACGTCTACTATAAAATACAGGCCGGAGAGCTAGGTGTTCAACGTGTAATAGAAAAATATAAAGAAAAAGAATAACAAGAGTTTTAACAAAACAAATATTTATCAGAATTTCGACGCTATGGGGGGGGGGGGGGTTACGAGGGCTTACACCCCTCCATTATTATATCTTAAACCGTGATTTTGCCCCCCCCCCTCCATGCACGCACATACTTCAGAGTTGTTTTCACACATATTTTTATTAAGAGAAGTTTTATATTTTTGAAAGAAAGGTACATAATACTCACAATACTCATTTTCTAATCCTTATATCTTTGCAACGATATGGTGTAATCTTTGATATATCCAACTATGACTAGTTGAGCTAGCAGAATTGTAAGTTTGAACTTCATCACTAGATTACAAAGATATAGGGATTAGCAAATTTGAATTTGCGTCGGGTGATGAGTGAGTTCCATTATCTTGATTTTTTAATTGTTAAACCTTAAAACTGACAATGCTTTATAATTTCCCCTCCCTACTTGCATTTTCATTTCGATCTCATATGTTTTATCCATCTTTCAAGTTCGGAACAAAAACTTTTATTGACTTTTCATTTCCGGAAATAGATGAAGTGAATGATTTATTAATAAAGGGACAGATCTCGATTTTTTGTGTTTCGTCTTTTCGGAAAAAACTGATAAATTTTAAAATCATATTCTTCTTAATTAATTCGTTTCTGCCTGTTAACTCAAGCTGCACTCCTACGTATGCCGAGTCCATTAGCGCCTGAACTAATCAGGGTTCAGTCATGTGTTTGTTTCCTATTTTGAACCAATAGAAATAGTATGGCGGAAACATCTATCTTTCTATCTATCTCATTATCCAATTAGAGTTATGAATCCTTCAAAAGGCGCTATCAGTAAATGGAAATATTTACTTCTACTAAGACTATAGTGG